ACAAAAGTCCATAAGAAAATATTTTATGATGCTTGGATTTTTCAATTTAATTCAATTATATATTTGTAGATAAAGGGCATGTTTAACAGACGAGGGTTTACCGGTTTAGGAGTATTTAATATTAGATTTTAACAAGAAGTCCGATTTAAACAAAAAAAGTTTAATTTGTTGTAAGAGCATTAATCTTTTAGTTTAAACACAAACCACCAAATTTTAAAACTCTTTCATGTATTTTTAAGAAAATGTTATTGAGTTTTTTTAATTAATTTCAAATTTAGTCTAAAAATATATATTTATATTTATATTTTTTAAACAATTATCATTTTATGTAATTTTATATATTTCAAAACTTTTCGACTAATTTTTACTAAATATTAATATCACAAATAAAAGTTACGGGTACCAACTTTCTACTTCTATTCTAACTACTGGTCATCAACCATCAATCAACCATAGCTACCGGTTAGAATTTACCAATAACACTAAAAACGTACAATTTCTACTGCATGCAAGAGTTTGAAATATTTTTGGATACACATACAATTTATTCCATAAAAACATCAAATTGAAGGAATTAAATAGATTATTTTAACATCATAGATTTTAAGCCGTTAAAAACATTTTAAATTGAACTCCAGAATATAATCTATAAAAGATAGGATTAAAGCGATTATGTTTTTTTGCTCAAGGCTTCAAACGTTTGTTTAATTATCTTAGTGTAAGTCGGATTGGTGGTGCTGTAAGCTCCATCCACCACAAGATTAATCCCACTGACAAACTTCGAAGCATCGCTCCCCAAATACACTGCCGCCTCCGCTATATCCTCAGCCGTCGGCACCACCTCTTTCAAGACTGACGCAGCACATAAAATATCATCCACCGCCGCCTTCTCCAACCCCATTGCATTCGTTAGCAGCGGCGTCGACACAGACCCAGGTGAAATGCAGTTCACTCGAATCCCGTATTGTCCCAATTCCACAGACAAATTCTTCATCAATCCCACCACCGCGTGTTTTGACACAGTATAAGAATGTGGTGACTCGCCGGAAACAACTGAAGCTGAACTCGAAGTAAACAAAATCACTCCACGTTTTGCCGGGATCATAACCCTAGCAGCATGTTTAGCTCCCAAGAATGATCCAAACGTGTTGACCTCAAAAACCCGTTTGAAGTTTTCGTTCTCAGATTCTAAGATCTTGAAATCCAAGTTCCCCGGTATTCCGGCATTGTTAAACATGATGTCAAGCTTCCCGAACTTGGAAACGGCAGTGTCCACGGCATTCTTTACGTCAGATTCTTGTGTGACGTCACAATGAACGTAGATAACATTGTCGCCTGATTCAGACACTAGATCGTTACAAAGAGCAACTCCCAGGTCATCTTGGACGTCGGCGATCACAACTTTTGCGCCGTATTTAGTGAACAGCCTCACCGTGCTTTCACCAATGCCGCTAGCACCGCCGGTAACTATGGCTACTTTGCCTTCTAATCTGTATCATAACAAGTGTAATGTTAGAATTCAAGTTGATAATAGGTTAAACGTAGAAGAGACACAAACAAAATGCTATTCTCGCTCATAATTTAGACGCGCGGGAGAGCGTCGCGATACCTGTTGGGCAAAGCGTCCATTGTGCGTTTGTGTGTTACAAACGAATGGGAGAAGGTAAACTTATAGACCACAAGATTCAACTTGCACAGACAATTAATTATCTTTACTTTTATTTTACTTTTTTTTTCGTCAAACACATTTAAGGGCTTTTTATACAATAAAGTCCAATCATGTATATCTCGATCCTTGGCTAATATATCTCGGCCACTCAACAATTGTATCTTTACTACATGTATTTCGATAATGAGAAAGGGTTGGATTACACGAAAATATTCACTATTTATGATATGAAAGCAATATATTATTTCCTTATAGATAATTATAATTTTTTTCCCTCACCGTTGAAACCTTAGCGGACGCCGTCGACCTCCTCATTCTCTTCCGGATTTCTTCTTCTTCTTTGATCATATTATCATGGTTGTTACTAAGGTCCCGTTTGATAGTTTCTGTTTGGAAAATGCTGTCTGAGAAAGTTTTCTGACTGGGAAATAAATCATGTTGTTTGATTGAACATCTGATTGACTGTGCTGAATGATGAAAAAAAGTAATAATTCAATAAAAAATAAATTAAAAAAAAGTTATTTAAAAAAATTAATAATCCAATAAAGAAAGAAAGAGGCGGTGTTTGGTGTATAATTGTTTTTCCAGCCCATTCAGCCAGAAATATATGATTTTGGGGCTTTCTGGGAAAGACATATCTTACCGGGAAAGACCCATTCTTTTGTGCAAATCAAACAGTCTTTCCGGTTTATTCAGCCAGAAAGATCTGTTTGGACCTGGAAAGATGTGTATCAAACGGGGCCTAACACCGAAAAACTCTATGGAATCAAATATTAATTTTTCATTATTCTGAATCTTGATATTAAACATTTAAATTGTGATGCATGACGTGAATTATTTGAAACGCATATAATAGTTTTTGACGTCTCCAAACATCTTGAAGGACCAAACAAAAAAGCTCTTGTTTTTTGTTGGTGATTTAAATATTATCAACATATTTTAGCATAGGTTTTATTAATATTGAGATAGGTTGAACTCTATTTACTCACCGAGATAGAAGGTGCAGGATGCACACTTGGAGTAACAAATATGAACTCGGGAATATGGGGGTTCGGGGTCGCACACATGGGTGATGGGTACAGGGTTCTAAGAGCAACACCTCCAACGGGGTCTAGGGGCAACGCCCCTGTTGGTGCAAGTGGTAACATCATTATGATGTAATAATCTCTATTATGAAAGAGTCAGAACGTACATTTCCCGGTACAAACAAGTCGTGACATCATTATGCTGTAATAATCGGTTATGTCTTAAAACCATATTTCCAACCACCATTTTAGCGCAAAAATGCATATAACCACCATTAACTAGTTTCTTCCCTTGATAAGAACATTGTGAATCTTCAAGGAAAAGGGTTGGTTTTTCTCATAATCGAATTTGATCATCAGATTGTCTTTATCTCTCTAAAACGCAAAACAACTAGGTATTTCTGTGTTTTTTATTTGGAAGTGGCGCGACTTCTAAATTGTGTCTCTTGGATTATTGTACGTCAAATTTCCTGATACCCAGACATAAGGCCGAAATCACAAATTTTGGAAAGTGATTGCAATCATGATCCTAAAAATTATCCAATTACAGATTATATTCTTAGACCAAAAAATCTAACATTTAAATTTTATGATTATGTGAAGAATATCAATAGCAGAATCTGTCAAGGACATGTCACAATTAGTAAAAATTGGTCAGAGTTCGGTGGTCAAACAATCGCGAACCACTATGTATTAAGGATCAATTGCGTGTTATTTTATGTTTAAAATGTATATTAAAGATATTATATTCATGATTACTTTCAGAACATCTTAAACTACTTAACCATCTGTCGTTGAAGATCGAATCGAAAATCATCAAAAATTAATTCAATGGATGACGTTAAAAATAAATTTTTGCATTAAGTATATATGAGATTTATGGATAAGAAATTTAAATAGATTATGTTCTCCTGATTCCGTGGATATAAACAACGTCCAAAACGGAGATCGTATAAAGAAGTTATGTCTCTTTAAAGCTATAAAAATCAGTTTCATCTGATTTTTCCATAAACGAACTATTCACTACTTCGTTTGGGATAGATAGGAACATCGTAAATGGTTTTTGAGCACGTTTTTTGTAACGTTTGAATCTCGGTAAGTTCCTCTTTTGACCTTGCATATTTAAATTGTCCTATTTTGACCCTTGAGTTATACGCGGGGCGTACAACGAGGTACGCTTAGCGTACAAGGGATAAAGCGAGTACGCGGGGTGTACCTAGTGGTACGCTTAGTGTACTCATGCGAGGGTGTGATCGGGGTCCCCGATGCATACGTAGGGCGTACACAATGATTAATAAAAACCCTAATTTTTGGGGTTGGCCACTATATAAGCATCCTTATGGAGTTGAAACCCTCATTTCACCAGCCTCCTTGTCCCCTTTACCCTACATTCGAACCCTAATCCCATCTTGTGTGATTTTGGAGCTTAGAAGGCCATTTGAAAGAGTATTTTGGTGCTTTTAAAGAAGGTGTCCATCCTTGAAGCTTCATTGAAGGAATAAAGGCTTATAGATCCAGAACCTTATCATCTTTTGGCACTCATTTGAGGTATAAAGTCTATGTGTTTGCATGCATGGTTGGCTCTCAATACATGATTTTGGTCCTTTAACAAGCTCAATGGACATCAAACACTTGCATGGTTGTGGCTTAACCATCAAGGTCCGATTTTATGACCTTGGGTGCCTTTAAGAGCCCAAAAGGACAACTCTTAGGCTCTGAAATCGCAAAGATACAAGAAGCCTCAAGAATAAGGTCCAAAAGTGACCTTAGACACCCCTAAAAACAAATATAAGCATACAATGGCCAAGTAGGGAACTTGATACCTCAAAAGAGTCAATAATGATGTCAGTCCACTAGATCTACAAGCTCTTGGTGGATCCTTGCTTCTTCTTCAAGCTTCTTTCTTCCCTTCTCACTAACACAACACACAAACACTCTCAAATGGCTTCTAGAACACAAAGGCACACAAAAAAGAGCTAAGGTGTTCGTGGTGGCTGGATATGGGTGAAGGGAGGCTGAACCAACAGGGGTTATGTTCTTTATATAGGGAGTAAACCCTAAATTTTAGGGTTTAAGGAGTTTCACATGTACGCTGGGCGTACGTGCATGGCCTCCGCGGTTCACTCTCACGAGTACGCTGGGCGTACATGGCAATGTACGCCCCGCGTACGAAGCTTCCTCAACCCACTAATAAAGCCCAAAGGTCAAAGCCCCAACCAAACCATTCCACACTTCAATTAAGATGATCAATAATAATACCTAGAAAATCCCGGATGCTACATAATTGTCACACCCCGATCCTTGTCGGAATCGATCAAGGCGTGATATATTGTTCAAAGTCTCATGACAA